CAGTTCAAAGCTGCTCTTGCAATTAGTCTGCCTGACTGAATTCAAATGCTGACGTGTGGTTTTGTTTCTTTTAAACCATGAAACCGATATTTGAAAAGTTTAGTGCTAGCTGTACGTCTCCCAACACTGAAGGATGTGTGTTTGTTTGCCTGTGTATCCGTAAGTGTGCAGTATGATGTGATCGCCTTTGCCACAAGGCCTTGTGTGCAAATGGTGTATTTTATTTTGCAATCAATTTATAGACATATAAAGAAAATACTTTGGGGTGGGGGGAGGAGGAAAGCAAACTCGGGCATTGGTATATAGCCCTGTCAGCAACTGGCAGTGTATAGCTTGCATATGACAATTGAATTTATTAGGGGGAAAGAGTCAGGTTAGAGTGAAGACAGCCTTGTTAAAAAATTAATGGGTTTATGAGCACTCCCCCCCCCAGCTTTTTAAAACATTAAATCCTATTTTTATTTGGATTACCTCCATTTTAATGATTATACCAATATAGCCATATAAATAATATCTTGCCAGATGCCCACTTGATTCACAAGTGAAAATATAATTCTTTGTAAGTACTTAGTAGGCTGGATCTTGTTGGATGAACAATTTAGGCTGTGGTTTGGGGGCTGATTTTTTTATTTTTTATTTTTTGCTTTTTTGGTCCACATTTGTGAATTGTGCAATTAGAGGTAAAAAAAATAAAAATCATAGTAATTATCTGTATTCAGTGAAACTTAATAGAGCTTTCCCAGCTCAGATGGGTTAGCATGAAATTTAATTTACCCTAATCTGTCAGAGACCAGGGAAGCGTGAAATATATTGTACAGGGGAATTACCTGTTTTGCAAGATTCTAGGTCAGGAGACATTTTCTGTTCGCTGTTTAAAAAAAAGGGGGGGGGATATGCTTATAACAAAACCTCCTCTAAACTCAGGCTTATTATATTTTCATGTATTAAACAATATCCCTTTTTGCTGCGAAAGGGAGACATAATAACATCTCATCCACACTTACCTCATAAGAAAGCATTTAAATTTTAATACAGCGTCACCAAAGAAAGCCGAACAATGTATTAAAGTTGTCATATTCTTAGCTGAAAAATACTGACGAATGTTCTGCCAGCTTACATAAAGTATAGCCTTCAAGTGCAAGGTACTAATCATACAAAGATCACCTATAGAATCTGTTACTCTACCGATTTTAGTTTCTCTAGATCATATTGTCTTGTATTGCACCCCTTTTTTGTGGTGGTCTACGACCATAATAAAGATTTGTTGTTGTTGTTTTTGCACCCCTTCCCTCCCCATTTTTAAAGTGTGAAGCCTGCTTCTTAAAAGAAGGTCGCATTGGCTCACAACTGTCACAAAACATAATCCCGCTAAAAATGTTACAATATGAAAAGTTAAAAACCAGTAAAACAAGATCACTGCGGATTAATGCGATAAGGCTGTCCTGCAGCCACTTACCCTGCTGTATTCACAGGGACTTATTTCTGAGTAAACATGCATAGGATCACGCTGAAAAACAGTCTATTGTCCTGCCCGTGCCCCTAAACCTTTAGCAGCAAAAATCCAATTTGTAACCACTTATTGTCTCTCCATACATGGACAGTGGGAATTACGTTCCCTGCTTGAGGGTTCCCTCTTGATTTCACTGCGGGAGGTCTGTGCTCAGAGTTCCCAAAGAACTGCGTGGCGTTCGTGTGATATCAGATCAGCAAGATGAGAATGGACAGAGTGCTATTAAGCATCAAAATCAATTTCGGCAAAGCGGCTCAGACAAGAATTAGGGCGACAACTGCAGGCATGCCCAAATTCTAGTGATAATGATGCCTAACGACGCAGGTACTGTGGGATCTTGAGTAAAGATTTAGGCCACGTCCCCAAGAATGCAGGTGAAATGCAAATAGTACGTGGAATGCAGAATGGAAAGGCGGTAATGTTGAGGACTTCCATTTCTAGAAAATCCACATGTCTGCGCGATCGGCAGCATTGAAAGGACAGACATGAAATCTCAGTATTTTCGCCTTGTTTCCCAACAGACATCTGCAACATCCGGGACTGATGTATGCTGCAGCTGGAAGATTCCGTTTGCATACCCTCCAACATTTATCTGATGAAAATAGGGACGTCCTATTCCATAATAATAATAGTAATTTTATTATATATACCCTTCCCATCTGACTGAGTTGCCCCAGCCACTCTGGGCTGCTTCCAACATATATAAAAACATAATAAAACATTAAAAAAAACCTTCCCTATACAGGGCTGCTTCCAGATGTCTTCTAAGCTCCTTATCTCCTTGGTCACATAACTCCATACCCTCCAGCTTTTCTCCAGGGAAAATAGGGATGTCCTAAGGAAAAGCAGGACATTCTGGGATCAGATCAGAAGCTTCTGTAAATCTGGGACTCTCCCTGGAAAATAGGGACACTTGGTGGGTTAGGCTAGGTTCTAATCTGGTTTACTTGTATCTTGGAGGTGCAGAATAGCTTCTGGCTGCTCTAAGTTAGGAGTTATTCACTGTGTTCAGAAAGGAAGCCTTTAAAATGATCCCATAATGCTCTGATGGGCAGCATGCTGAATGCAGGTAGATAGGTTTTGTGTAGAGAGACTTGTAAAACACAGTATCATTTCTTGGTCAATGCAATATTCATGAACATGCCACGAAAGAGTATGCCTGCCTCTTTCCTGCCGCTGTCTCCCCCCCTCACCCCCCCCCACCCAAACGGTACAGTGAACAGAAGAGGGAGGTGGTGGAGAGAATCAAATCTCATATCTTAAAGCTTTGACAGCTTTGTAACGATGATCCGGGATATCAGAATTTAGAAGAGCTTCCCTGTTCTGATGCACAAGAGATGGTTTGGGGAAGAACAAAAATCAATATCCATTCCAATTAGAGCCACAGCCTCCAAGCTCGTGCAAAACTGCAAAGGGCTTTTAACCATCTCTTGCCAATAGCTGTGGCTGATGTGGAGACCGCAGCGAAGGAAAGATGCTGCAGTGATTTTTAGAGAGGAATGCGCCTTTGACAAACACTTGGATAATATCCGTGGCCTGTGTGCCTTCTGGCATCATGGTGGGGTATCTCCTTGGTGATTTGATGACACAGCAAGTGATGTCTTAATGCAGGGAAAGTGAACTGCATGACACAACTTCGTGCCAACCTGGGCACGGTCGTATCAGCCCCTTTCAGCGCTGTTGATGTCGCACCCCCCACCAGCCATATTCTCAAAGGGCTCACAACTGAATGCCCTGTTTAGAAGAGGTTTATCTGATTTTTAAAAAGCATGCATTGAGCGCTGCAACAAAACATTGCAGTGTATCCTCACCCCTCAAGGAAGCACTTGCATTCAAGGTTCCAGCCCGCCATCAATCTATCAATCAATTAATTTCAGTACAGTGGTACCTCTGGTTAAGAACTTAATTCATTCCAGAGGTCCGTTCTTAACCTGAGGTTCCTCTTTAGCGAATGGGGCCTCCCAATGCCGCGCGATTTCTGTTCTCATCCTGAAGCAAAGTTCTTAACCCGAGGTATTATTTCTGGGTTAGCGGAGTCTGTAACCTGAAGCATCTGTAACCCGAGGTACCACTGTATTTATAAACTGCTCTACATTCAGAGAACACCTGAGCGGTTTACAGAAACAGAAAAGAAAGCATAATGTAAATCACAAAATGGTATGAAAACAGAAAAACCAACAGGTCTTGAAAACTTGAAAATAGAAATAACATAAACTGAATTGAGAAGGCTGGGGAGAAAGAGTATGTTTTCAACCAAAGGCCACAAACATAACAATTTTGGGTCTCACTTCACTTCCAAAGGAAGTGAAATGGGAGTGCTAGAATCATGCCATGCTTTACTGCTTTGGTATGAGGTACCAGCAATAGATCTTCATTCACAGACCAGGACGGGATGTCAGGTGAGAGGCAACTTCTCAGATACCCTGAGTCCAGAACTGTATAGGGCTTGATGCACCTGCAGTAAAGCTTTGAATCTACCTCAATATCAAATTGCAATGCTTTCAGCACAGGTGTGCTGGTCCCAAGGGTTAACCGTGCAGCGAGGTCCGAGTCCAGTCCAAGGTTGACTGTCCATCAAGCTGTAGCTGGGTCCAAGGCAGGGAGTTGAGTGAGGTCAGGAACTCTGGCAGAAGAGCAGGACAGGATGCAGGCACGAACAGGCTACCAACAATGTTGCTCCCGCAACCTGGGACTGGGGCTGGCTGGCTTTTATCTGCCCTGAGGCATAGGGCGGCCCTGGTCCACAGGTGACTCGCTTTTCCTGGCCTGGAGGCGAGCACTCCTCCTGCAGGAACTTAGTTCCCTCCGCCTCTCTGCCCTGAGCCTCTGCAGCTCAGGAGAGGCTGGAGGGTTACCGGACCCAGAGGCAACCTCAGCTTCCCCTGACAGGGCTGAGAGTGGAGCACCTGCAGGCAATGGGTCCTCCACCCCCTCAGGAGCCAGAGGAGACTCAGCTGATGCCTGCACCTGAGGATCCAGCATAGGTGAGGACCCTTCAGGCTCATGTCCCAGCCCTGGCTCAGCTGGTTCTGGAGGCAGGGACTCATGTGCAGGCTGGGATTCCTCAGGTTCAGCCTCCGAGTCCGAATCCCAGGCCATCACAACAGGTGTGCTATGTTGTCAATAGGTATGCCTCAGTTTCCCTCCAAGCAGGACATTCTACTCCCCCCTCACCAACTACCCCCATAGCATGTTCCATTTTTCTTTTCCGAGTGCCACTCTACATTGGGGTGGCGAGTCTTTTTTGGGCTGAGGGCTGCACTCACAGACCCTGCACACAATCACACACATTTCTTCTGCAGAGAGGTGTGCTTAATTTTTAGTAACTCCATTTAGGTTTTACCTCCCCTGTTCTGTACAGACTGACACCATTGTCTTTTCTGTGCAAAAGACAAAAAGAACTCAGTCAAAAGAACTCTCCGCAGAAGAATGCAAATACCATCAGCAGCAGCATTAACAGCCATTTGAAGTCATCCTACCTTACAGCTACGTCTGTCAGAAACATGGCTCAGCTGGTTGGAGCGTGGTGCTGATAACGCCAATGTTGCAGGTTCGTTTCCCGTAAGGGACAGTTGCATATTCCTGTTTTGAAGGCGATTAGACTAGATGACCCTCGGTGTCCCTTCCAACTCTACGATTCTGTGATCCTATGCCCCAGAAGTATGTGTCTGCTTTGGATTTGCTCTGAGCTATGGGTATGGTGGCGCTGTGGGTTAAGCCACAAAGCCTAGGACTTGCCGATCAGAAGGTCGGCAGTTTGAATCCCACGACGGGGTGAGCTCCCGTTGCTCGGTCCCTGCTCCTGCCCACCTAGCAGTTTGAAGGCACATCAAAGTGCAAGTAGATAAATAGGTACCGCTCCAGCAGGAAGGTAAACAGCGTTTCCGTGCGCTGCTCTGGTTTGCCAGAAGCGGCTTAGTCATGCTGGCCACATGACCCGGAAGCTGTACACCGGCTCCCTCAGCCAGTAAAGCGAGATGAGCGCCACAACCCCAGAGTCGGCCACGACTGGACCTAATGGTCAGGGGTCCCTTTACCTTACTTTTTATGGCTATGGTGCTATTGCAAAGATATCAGAGAAAACTACAGGGGTTTAAACTAAATAGTTCACCTTCTCAGAACCATAGTGGTTTAAGCGAAACCTCCTCCTATGGCAACAGTCTTTGCATTGTCTATAATGTAAGTAGTTCTTCAGGATTCCAGATGATGTTCTCTCCCAGTCCTATTTGGAGATGGCAGGGACTGAACCGGGTACCCTCTGCCTTCAAAGCCGTGGCTCTACCACTGAGCAAATGCTCTTCTTCCTGTAATAACCAACCATCTTGCAAATTTCTATTCTTTTTCCTTTTTTTAAAAAAAGAAATTAATTTTAGAACCACGATTATTTACATGTATCAAATAAACACCAATAAACAAACAAAACTCCAAAGAAAAGGCCCATGAACTACAACAACATGCCACTTAAAGTAACACGATATTCCTTCTTGTTATGAGTCTAATACAGAAAACATTCCCTATTATCGTATCCAGCAGACAGAGAGATTTAAGGCATCATAAGCAACATCAACAGGAAATAACTCCCCAGACACTTGAGTCATGAATTATTTCCCCCCCAAATTGCAGTGTATTGAGCTGCAGGTGTTTTTGACGTACTAAGCCTCATACTAATATTTTTCATGCTAAAATGAAAAATAAAGCTATGCTCTTCTGCAAAAAAAGGGCATCTTATCTTACCTGTCCTTGATGGCATGGATTTGATGCATCGGGTTCTCTGTAATGGCAGTTTCCTCAAAGTTTACCGTTTCCGGGATCCAAAGTAATAGTCCTATAGTTTTACACATTTATCAGTTTGTTTGCTTTTAAATTTAATCACCTAGCCAAAATATTTTAAGTAGTGATCTGACTTCTCCCACAAAGCGCAACATTGAATCATCAGGCTTAGGTCACTCAAACACAATACGTTTGAAGCACATTTAAAGCACATGGTTTCTCCCAAATAATACTGGGAAATGTAGTTTAAGGGTGCTGGGAATTGTAGCTCTGTGAGAGGTAAACTCCAGTTCTCAGGATTCTTTGAGGGAAAGTCATGTGCTTCAAATGTATAGTGGAATATGACGGAGATAACCTATATTGCATAGAGAAGCTCCATTATACTGTACCTTTATCAAGCTACCAGTGATTGTGCGATGCTTGTGGTAAGGGGGTGTTGGCTTTGGGTCTCACAAAAATAATAATCTGTGCATAACTTAAGACAGACACAGAAATAAATGCAGCTGCGACGGGAGTGGCAGAAAGAGTTCTCCCCTCCACCCCTCTCAACACTGCTTTGGCAGCATCCAGAGGTTGATAAAACTGGCAGATCCGTCTTGTTGCAATTCCATTATAAAGGATCTCTACCAAATATAACCTGCACGGTGTGGGTTCAGACCACTAAAGGTTGGGACTGCAAACAGCAGTGATGGCTGCACAGAATCCACTCCCTGTCTCCTCCACGTTTGCCAGTTCATGGTGCAACCTTCACCCAAGAACCATCTATTTCAGAAAAGTCAAAGCAAAATTCAAGCGCGAGTCGCTGCTGAAGGGAGTGCTGATGTCAGCCTGGTTCATCCTTGTCTATAATGCCTCACTCCAAAATGACTAAGTGGAACCAGTGACGGAAGTTCACCTCAATTTGTCTGACTCCAAGGTTCACAGGGCCCCCCTTTGGGAATATTTGTGACTGACTCTGCAGCTAGCATGTAAACAGGCATTCATGCTAAGGAGATGAACCATTCTGTCCCTTACTTATCAATTTCATAAAATAATAATAATAAATAAATAAAAATTAAAGCACCCAGCAGAAACATTGTAAGTAGTGTTGCGACTCCTCCCACAAAAGTCAACGTTAAAACATTTTCTGAATGTGAAAAGATGCGGTCAGATTGCCAAAGGCAAGTACCTCCCTCGATTTCATTTCATTTTCTTACCTCCCTCAATTTCATTTCACTTTGCCAATTCCCTTGCAAAACGGAATAGGGAGAAGCTATGTCCCGAGTGCCAATTCTCTGTTTCTCACCATTAGGTTAATAATTACACTCCACCTTCATTATTATTCTATTGCCAGACTCCAAGGATTTTGATTCCACGCACTAAAATGCCAGTTATTGGTGGTTTTTTTGTTTAGAAAAACAACAACAACCCACCACAACCCTAAGGTAAATGAGATGCTGCTTCTCAGCAAGCTCTGCAGGAATGCTGCTCTTAATGAACGAGCGATCAAGAAGTTTAAATGCGGCGGAGCATCTAAAGCAGAGGAACATTATCGCAGAACGAGACAGAAATAGACTTTGCACCAGATGTCATTAGAAACAGGCAGCACTTCGTTCTGATGCTACCTAGGAGGCCTCCTTCTGCTCAGACATGGCTCCCTTTTTAAGAACTTAAACAATGTCATGCTCTTTCTCTCCACCACCGCACCTTCCCCACCATCCTCATAAGAAGAAGTAACGGCTGGAGAGATCCATTCTAGTTTGATAAAGAGGTTTTTCCACGCAGTGCATAGTTAGACTGTGGAACTTATGGCCACAAGAGGCAATGACGGCCACGAACTTGGATGGATTTGAAAGAGGGTTGAACAAGTTCATGGAGGAGAAGAGAGGAGAGACACTGTGGCCCATTTTGGAAGTTCCACTGTTGACTTTGGTCACATCTGGTTCCGGAGGGTTTTGCCACTATGACTGCAGCGGAGAGAATCGTAGTTGGTATGTTCCATGCTGCTAGGACAGTATGAAAATGGGGACGTCCCATTCCATAAATGATAATTCTACTATTTATACCCCATACATCTTACTGGGTTGCCCCAGCCACTCTGGGCAGCTTCCAACATATATAAAAAGAATAATGAAACATTAAACATTAAAAAAGAACTTCCCTATACAGGATTGCCTTCAGACGGCTCGGGGGTTGGATAACTCCATACCCCCCAACTCTTCACCAATGAAAATTGGAGAAATCCTACCATACCCTCCAACATTTCTCCGATGAAAATAGGGATTTCCTAAGGAAAAGTGGGACATTCCTGAATCAAATCAGAAACCAGAACGGCTTCTCTAAATCAGAGACATCCCAGGGAAATAGGGACACTTGGAGGGTCTGTGCGCAGTCAGTGGCGTAGTTGGGGGTGGGTTCACAGTGGCACAAGATTGTTAGGGGGCGCACCGTTTCAACACCTGGTGCTGCCTCAATATAGCTGCACGCTTCTGCAGCTGGGCTCTGTTGAAAATGGCTTCTCCATGTGAGCCAGGAAGTGACTTCTCTCGACAATGGGACGTCTCTTCTTTTCTTACCTCTGCTCCTGCAACCTCCTGAGTGACGCAGACACTGTTAGGTGGTTCAATGCGCATGTATACTCCACCCGTTTCCCTCCTGTCCACCCACCCCCTCCGCATGGCCCCGGACACTGGCAACCCATGCTACGCCAAAGTGTGCAGTTAATGCACCATGTGTTCATGTTCTGACCAAAGTGCCCACTATATACAGAAATTAAATATAGATTTGAGGGGGGGGGTGACTTAACTTTGACCCATTATATATAACCTTGTTAGTGTATCTTAAGAGTGTACAAGCATCGAAACATCATTCTTAATAGCTTAACGACATTGTAGTGGCAGTTAATTGAATTAGAGAAGTCTAGGATCATTTAAATAATGACAGATAAGGGTCACCTTGAGTTATACTGTGGTATCAATGGGAAGACCAACAGCAAAGGGGAAAAAAATCCCTTCATATCTTGGCAACACTCACCACCTCCACCCCATAACTCATTTATTTAGAATATTTGCATACCACACTTCATAATAAAAATGCCAGAGCGGTTCTCAATAAAAACACTTGTACATAATAAAATATAATAAACATCAAAGCCAATGCAAATACAATAACATATTTTAAAATACCAAATGAGTGACACAATCCTATAAGAGTAGGGCAGCCAATGTGGGCCCCTTCAGACTACAACTCCCATCATTCCTGACCCTTCCTTGGCCATACTGGCTGGGGCTGATGGGAGCTGTAGTCCAACAATAGCTAGCAGGCACCATGTTGGCTGCTTTTCTGGTACATCAGGGATGGATAAATCTGCAATGTTTGGTTTCTCTCAGTTTCTAATTTGTCCAAGTTCAGTTCTCCATATTTCTGCATCAGTTTGTGATATTTTTAATAATAAAAAATCCTTGTGAAAGTTGATCAGCGTTTTAGTGCATTTTATACACATTTTTGCAAGCATGTTCCCCCAATACTATGCATTTTATATGTTATTTTTACTAATAGACGCATTTTTATGCAGACCTCTCTCTCCCCTCCCCATATGTCTTTCTGTGAGCATGATTTGGCTGGAGATCTCCACCACAAAAGTGATCCGTTCGAAGGGTAGCTGTGTTTTGGCTTTCATATTGTTTCGGAAATTAGAATTTGAGCTGAATCAAGCTTCTCCGCTCTGGACGAGATTCTTATCAGGGTCCCTTCCAACGCTACAATTCTATGATCTATGAACATCTGCGGGGACATGGATTCATCATCCCTGCTATACGCACT